CCTAAGAGCTTCAAATTTGAAACGAAACTCACAAAGCTAGCAATTCATTTTGGAAATTTAAAAAAATGGCACCCGAAATTTTCGACAAATCAAAGATTTTTGTACTGAAAATCTTTCTCGTTGCTTTTTGCTTTTATTATATGTATGAACTGCTTTGTTGTTGGTTTGCCAGATTGCTGCTGTCTGCGTCATCTACGAAAACTACCAAGAAAGTAAGAGTCAACAAATTAGGCAGCGTCAACTATCAAAGCTGCAAATTAAGACAGACAATTAGGTTTTCAAAAATAAAAACAAGCAATTAAAACAATTCAGAGGCAATTGTTTGCCGGTAAAAGTTCACGTTTAACATAACATTAATCAACCCCGCCCGACATTGAAATTACAAGAAAGAAAATGTTGTTACAGATCTTTCCGTACAATAGTTATAAAAGGGATTCAAATCATATTTCTTTTAGCATAAAATAAATTTGAGTGCAAAGCATGCTATGTTTTGAATTTAATATTTTTATCTAAAATTTTAATATTTAAGTAATTTTATTTATTTATTTATTTTAATTATAATTGAAGCTCAATCTCGAAACCCTTATTCTTAAAGCCGATTTTAATATGGTCTCATTGATTAGTGCCTTTACTATCCACTTGTGGTAACACCATTTTCAAACAGTTTAATCTAATTTATTGTAAGGCAACAATTAATTCTTTCCTGGGACCACATGTACTCCTAATTACGCAGCATTCAAGCTATATATAAATTGTAAAAGCTCAAAGAATACCATAAATATTTTATTTAGGTTTTAGGTTTAGTAACAAGTTTATAATTACTCATTAATTAATTACTTAACCTTGAATATGATGTATAAACAAATACTTGAATTCATATATCAAATTATTCAAAAAAATAATAGTTGAATTTGACTCGTTTATTATCAATTGACATAATTACAACTTGAGTATTTCATTCTCGCGTTAATTTTTTCAAGTCAAAATCAAATACAAATAAGGTAAAGTAATACTAGTGACAATTCTCGAGTTCAAATTAACCGATACTAGATTCTTTGATTTTTCGGTGAACTAGAGAAATTTCTCTTCTTTTATCACTGTATATAGTCTGTACACCAGAACTAAAAGTTTGGTTCAAACTCTGCAAGATATAGAACTTCAAAATAGTCAAGTAGCTAGTCTAAGCAAATTCTTGCATGTGCTGATAGAATTTAATACAAAATTTTGAAATGTTAGGTGATGGGAGTTAGAAATCCTACACAAATGGACACAAATAGTTGTTGAACTGACTCTTTCATTTGATGTAATCCAATGAAGACAAGACTTTTTCACTTTGAAAAATATGGTTAGCTCACTTCTACGAGTTAGTTTCTCTTCCCGCCAAGCCAGCACCAAGATTGAAAGGGTTGAAGTTGGGTCTCTGCCAATCAGATAAGATAGCTTCCTTTGATTTTCAAGCTGTGTTTAATGGAGTTTTCGATAAAAACATCCGTTAAAAACGCTATTAGCATTATTTTAATTTTGTTTTGAACGAATTATATATGTTTCCAATCTTTGGATACTTGTCGGTTTTGCGTGTTCTGGATGCAAGACCGTCGTGTGTCAATCCATTGGAAGAATTTTGCCATGCATGACTGCTTCCAAGAGATATAGATGGCGTACCTGGAAATTGAATTTAGGATGATGAAAAGTATAACGTTAATTTGAGCCAATGAGGCCCAAGAGGAGGCTGTGAAATTTTTATGATCAATTTTATTCGGTTATATAGACAGTAAATTACACTCGTGATTCTCAAATTTTAAGATTTATACTATTTTGATCCTTAAATTTTAAAAAATAATTTATTAGTATTTGATTATTAAGAATTATAACAATACTTTTGTCAAATTATTTGTTATTTTTTTATTTAAAATTTTTTAGTGTTCAATAATCACTTTAAATTTTAATTAATTTAGAATTGAATTGAATTTGATCGTATAAAAAAAATAAATTATCTCAAGCATATTTTTTTTATTTATAAAATTTGAAATCAAAATTTTACTTAAAAAAAAATCAACTTTTTATTACTCGAATTAATAAGTGTCGGTGATTATTTGTTATCTTTATCAATAAGCACCAACTATAAAACTATTGACAAGTGTAAATTTATGTGTACGAAGAAAAAATATTTGAAAAAATCCCTGTTTATTTCAAGGATACTTTGATTATTTTACGTTGATTCTGGAGTATTTTTTATAATTAAAATATTTTTAAAAATTTAGAGAAAAATTTTCATTTTAGAGAGAGAAAATTACGGAAAATGAAAGCGGAGGACGTTATTGCCAAAGGAGGCCGAATTCAGTTCTCACTGCTGGTTTGACCCCATGAAGAGTTGCGCTGTCCTTCACTGTACATGATTGGCATTGGAAGGAACAAATCTAACCCTTTACGGGAAGTTAATTGGGGAAGAACACTATTGACCCCTTCTGCCAAATCCGGCCACACGGGGTTGCCTCATCTCTAGTGGTCATAGTCGACGTTGGGGGATTGGATTTTGTTCTTCTCGTTGTCAGTTGGCCTCTAACCAGGAAAAAGGGGAAAAAAAAGAAATTAGAATAAAAGAACAAAAAAAAAAAGGAAAAAATATTTTTATAAAATTAATGTAAATAACTATGTTTATATTTTTAAAAATTATTTAATTTTAAAAAAATTAATTCAAATTATAATATAAATTATTATTTAATTTTCTTGAAAAAAGAAAAAATTAAAAATTTTTTTAATAAAATCAATGTAAATTATAGTATTTTTAAAATTGTTATTTACCTATTAGTAAATTAAATATTTTATATTTTTATAAATTACTTCATTTTTACAAAATTAATTTAAATTATAATATAATTTTTTTCAAATAAGAAAATAATTGTATTCAAAAAAGTTCACATAATATTTTCTTATGGGATCATGTTATCTATAATTATTATACATAAAACAATTAATTAATAATAATTCAATATTGTGTATGGTGATTGATTTAAGATTTTTTTCGAATGTACCTACTTATAATATATATAAAAACTGCAATAAATTTATCAATTTTTTATGAAAAGTGTGTCAAAAACAAAATTTTGGGTATGTACAAGAAAAAAAATTTTAATTTCTTTTATTTTCAATCTCCGAGTATTTATAAACACTTAATTCTTCTTTTGCATCCGTTTTTTATTACGTAAGAACCACAAAAAAAAATTACGTAAAATTCACACTTTTAATTAGTACATTTTTTGCATAATTTTTTGTCGCAAATAATTAATTACAATATTATAATAAAAGATTATAAGTAGGAACGGCATCGAGTCGGATTCGAGGCGGATTTTGCTCGCTTCGAATCTAACATGACTTTATGTTTTATTAAATTCGAATTCGATCTTATCCGATTTTTTTTATTTCTGAACTCGGTTTGATCCGATACTATATAAACTGTATCCGATTCTATTCGAACCGAAATTAATAAAATATTATTTTTTAAATATAAATATTTAAAAATATCATTATATAAATATATATAATTAATTAATTAAAAAATAATTTTTTATATAATGTCGGGTAAGATCGGATCGGGTTTTAGGCATATCTGAACTCGATCCGATCCTGGTTATTTTCTAACTATACCCGATCCGATCCGACCAGAAACTCGAAATTCAAAAAAAAAATTCGATCCTATAAAATCGGGTCAGATCAGAATCCGTCGGAGACGGATTTGATTACCGTCCCTAACTCTAAGTGACATGCTGTCTTTCCTTATACACATCGTCGCCCATTGATAACATGTTTTAGATATGAATTGCCAGATGACATTTAACACTTTAAATAACGGTTTACTAACATAATTACCAATTAATTAGTATTTTTTACAATAAAGAAAAAAAAAACTTTTGAATCAAAATAGCATTTTGCTTCAAAATTCGGTGACCACTGCAATAATTTACTAAAATATATATGCTTTTTAATTTGAACCATTGAGACCCTTTTCTGATTTAAATCTCATCATAGGATCAGTTTCATGCAATTATATATTATTTGATTTGTTGATAATTGTTTAGCTCATTTATTGTTTTTTTTTTTTTCTTGAAATCATGTATTATATATATATATATATTATAATAATTTTCACTGATTTCATGTAATTTCATAAAAAAAAATATTTGGATTGGATTGAAACTTATAATTATATACAATGACTAGGGCTTAAACTGAGAAATAATTGCAAAACTAGATAAACTCAACAATTAATTAACAGATAAAATTAATAGATCAATCAAGTATCAATCAGTGAGATAATGACCAGACTATCATTGTTTTATTGTTTATACAATTTGCTCACACTTAAAAAAAAAATTGACCGGATTCGAAATTGTTTATATTTTTTTCTTAATATTTAATATAATAATATCAAATATTTTTACATTCAAATTTGATAATTTAAATCAAAATATAATTATTTACTTAAATTAAAAAAAATTAATTATATTTTTAAATTCACATTATATTTTACATAAAAATTGATAAGATATATCTTAAAGAGTAAGTACATTCAAATTCAATTTATAGTAGACCCAATGACCCAAAGGGCCCTCTTCTTGGGTTAGACTCTTTTAGGCCTAAAAAGGTAGATAGGCTAGGCTTCTTTTATGGGCCGGATCCAAAACTGTTATTGGTATTTATCTAAAGGAGCGAGCTTATGCATCAACGCCGATGTTTGAATTATCATCTTCTTTCCATTAAATCTGGGATTTTATTAAATTAATTAAAATGTTTATATCAACATAATTCTACTTTAATATTAAAATTAAATATTTTTATAAAAAAGAAATTTGAAAATAAAAAAATATTGTAAAATATTGATATTTCGAATCTTAGATTATTAAATGTGATTTTTAAGTGCGATTACTGAATTAAGTTTAGAATTTAAATTTAAATAAAATTTAAAAATTAATATTTCAAAAAAAAAGTTAAGTTGGGTTTGGATAAAAATATACTGTAGACAAAACATGGCCCATAGAAGCTCCAATTTAATCTTCGGTGGGCCGGCGTCTACTTCCGAGTGAAGGACTAATGAGTTTAAGGAAGAGCATCGGCGCGTTGTTGTTAATGGCAACGACAGGGAGCGGAGAGGGTGGTTCAAACCCAGAGCCCGAGGACCTCCACTCTTTACTTTCCCAGCAACACGACGAGCTCATGGCGGCCCACTCGCTCGAGTCCGATCTTGACTTAGCCTTCCGTCTTCAACTCCAAGAAGCCCTCTCCGCTTCCCTTTCTCTCCAAACTTCCCAACCACCGGATCAACCCTCAGCCCCTCCCGAACCTCCCCTTCAAAACGACACCGTCTTCTCCTTAACATCCCAAGAACTCTCCAAACTCCAACAAGAATCGCTTGATCACAAACGCTTCCTCCTCGAAACCCAGAAACTTAAGGAAGACCTCGCGCGTCGAGTCCACGACGAGAAATTCGCGCGTCGGATAGCGAGCATTCCCGAGGATCAATGGGCCGAGTGGGGCGATTGCTTTGAACGTCCGTTCGGGGAAGGGTGTTCGAAGCAACTGCGATTGGAAGAAACCGACAGCGAAAACGAGGGCTTTGACGTCGCTTCTGACGACGAAGACGACGAATGTGAATTTCGTATTTACTTCAAGGGATTGATTAGTGAAGAAAAGGTTGAGAATGAGAAATCGAATTATGCGGGTGTCGGAGTTGCGATTTGTGATTTTAGGGATAATTTGATTTTGGAAATCAAGAAGCCATTAATTGGCGTTGGGTTGAGTAAACAAGCGGCTGAGCTTAAGGCGTTGATCGAAGGGCTTAATGCTGCTTTATCTTTGGAGCTTAACAGGGTTCAATTTTGCTGTGATTACTATCCCATTTATCAATACGTAAGTTCCTTTACTTCTTTTTCTAGTATTTGCTATATTTACGTTCCTTTTTGCATGTTATTTTTTATACTTGCTCATTTGCTTATGCAAGCTAAATTTAAAACATGGGTTTTCACCAAAAAAACAAAAAAGTACTTTCAAGAATTAATTATCTATGTATATAGTGGTAGTTTTTTTTAAATAATTGAATGTGTCATTTTCCATTTATATATGGATTATACAGGTTAGAGTTTAGTCATTGCTTCACTTTTTATTAATTGTTGGGTAAGTAGATGTGCTAGTGAAAATGCTGGAATCGACCTTGACTATGGTGAATGAGCTGAACTAATGAATTGATGAATGAGGATGGCTTACAAAGTTGTGCATTTAAGTTTATGTTTTATTGGCTTTTTTAATAGTGTGATATGTCAGATGTGCTTGCAAATGAACTATATTCTTTCAGCAGCATTGAGAGTGTGGTGGTAGGTATCTTGTTTGAGAAAAACAAGACAAGTGACAAATTAGAACAAAGTATTCGGATTTTAAATTGGAGAAAATATGTGGAAAATTAAAGAAAAGTGAGATATGATGTATGCTGGAGGAAAAACTTTTAAATGGAGGAGATAATTGGGGTTTCGTTGAAGAGCTTAGTTCATGCCTTGTTAGATAACTGTTCCACTGTGTCATGTTGAAGCATTAACAAAGCTCTATTTAGCCATTTTTATCAGATTCATAGGTTCTACACATATCAAGCTACTGTCTTGTTCATATGTGATGGTATAACCTCATCTACTGCTTTCAACTGAGATCAAGTTATAATGTGGCTTAAGCATGGGCCATATTATCTTTAAGTAAGAAATTTCAGATATACATGTCATAGAAGGAAAGAACTTCATACTTTGGTTTAAATGTAGAAATGCATTATAATTAAATAAAACTAATTATAAGACCCCTTTATCTTCAAAATTGAGAGCAAAGATAATGTTGTTCGTGATGTAATTGGCAATACAGGTTACTAGGAGATGGCCATCAAAGCAGAGGAAGATTTCAATTTTAGTTAATCAAGTAATACTTCTTCAAGGAAAATTTACTTATTGCAGCCCCATACTTGTTGCACGTAAGGATATTAAATATGTGTTTAAACTTGCAAGGGAAGCAATAGTTTCTCAGATCATTGGACCTATAGAACAAAACCATGGCAAGACTGTGAAAGAGAATTGTGTTATCTGCTTAGAAGATACTGATTTTGGGAGCATGTTTTCAGTCGATGGGTGCATGCACCGATACTGCTTTTCTTGTATGAAACAGCATGTGGAGGTGAAGTTGCTTCTTGGGATCGTGCCCAAATGTCCTCATGAGGGCTGTAAGTCCGAGCTTATTGTTGACAGCTGTAGAAAATTCTTGACCTCTAAAATGATTGAGATATTGAAACAACGAATAAAGGAAGCTTCAGTTCCTGTCACAGAGAAAATTTATTGCCCATATCCTAGGTGCTCAGCCTTAATGTCAAGAAGTGAGGTTTCTGAATACGCTAAAGATGCGCTTGGAGTTGAAAGATCTGGAGTGAGGAAATGCCTGAAATGTCACGGCCTTTTCTGTATCAACTGCAAGGCTCCTTGGCATAGTAACATGACATGTCAAGATTTCAAAAGAAAGAATCCTCATCCCCCAGCAGAAGATCTTAAGCTGAAGTCACTTGCAACAATGAATTTGTGGCGCCAGTGTGTGAAGTGCAACCACATGATAGAACTTTCCGAGGGTTGCTACCACATGACTTGCAGGTATTTTGTTCTGGTTATGGTTTTTAGTTAATTTATTTTTGTTGTTTTTAAAATATTTTGCTCCACCAAGTTCAAGTTTGTTCACAACCAACTTAAGGGGAAAGGAACGGAGTGGGATGGGTGGGTGGGTTTAAGAATGCCATCAGAGGTTGCTACTTGAAAGCAAGGCTTTGTGCTTGTGGTGGAAGATCACGTCATGAGTCTGAGTTCCCAACATTTTGCACCATTGGCTTGAATATAACATAAATGGTTTAAATTTTGTGGTTGGCAATCGTGGGATATGCACATTATTTAGAAATATTTTTACAAATGATGGGATGAGAAATTTCAATTTGAAAGCATGCTGAGATTGAAGCCCATAAAATTCTTGCATCCTTTGCAATGAAGTAAAAAAAGGTGCTTCTAGGTTGGGACTTCAGAGAAAGTACATAGTTTAATTGTTTGTTTCTTCATCTGTGGGGATGTATATTATAAGTCATTGTTTCCTTCATAGGAGCTGAAAGCAAATTATATTACTCAACTATGTAATGGAGTCATTTCTTCAGTCGTTCTCACATACAATCTCTCGTATGTTTCATGTCATATGTCCATTTGTGTTTAAAGTTGACAGCTATGACCAAATCGTATCCACTAACTTAATTTTTTGTTTTTATTGTGTTTTGCTAATAAAAACTGCATTTCATGGTTGCCTTGTTTTGCAGATGTGGGCACGAGTTTTGTTATAATTGTGGGGCTGAGTGGAAGAACAAAAAGGCAACTTGTTCTTGTCCGCTTTGGGAAGAGAATTTCATTTGGCATGAAAATCTAGACTCCGATGAAGAGGAGGAAGACGAAGAGGAAGAGGAAGACCTAGAAGACTCTGATGAAGATTGGTTCGATTTCTGAGGACGCTTAACTGGTTTTGACTCTACCTTCTCAGTTCTCACCCTTCTATCCCCTCTCCTTGGCTAATTGCAAGTTTGGTAACTTGTCGGACCATTTATGTGTATAACTTGGAAGTGTTGCATAAACATTGTATTAGTCACTTGGTAGTTTGGTACAGTTCAGCTGTTTTGATGATGTGGGATGAAGTCCTCTGGTTGCAATCAAATCGGTGTGGTTTGTACTTTTAAGTAGAATTTTAAAACTCAGTTTAATAAATGAGTTAAACTAAAAGATATTGATCCCATTTTGATTATACGTAAGAACAAGATTGAGACGCTTGTGAATAAATTGGATAAAAAAACATAAATTCCATTAGAAATCTAATTTTTAATGCGCAAAAGACAATCATTTGGTAATGATTTTATTTTAAATCAATATATGAATCATTTGTTAAAGTTTAATTTCTCTTAAGATTGTGTCAAAATTTTAAATCAGTCTACGTTGGACCCCCTCATATTCCGTTACAAAAGAAATTTACTTTTTTTTCCAACCATCTGTTGTGACACGTAATGATATTGAATTTGTGTTGAAGCTAGCACGAGATGCTGTAGTCTCTCAGTCTCAGATTGAATGGCCTGCAGAAACTAGCAATGGAAGGGGTTTGGAGGAGACATGTGATATATTTTGTAGATATTGTTGATGCACAGATGTTTTCAGTTGATGGTTGCTTTCAAAGGTATTGCTTTTCTTGTATGAAGTAGCATATAGAAAGTCAAATTGCTAACACCTGCTCTTTTGGACATCAACCTAGTAGTCCAACTTCCTTTTTTCCCCCCTATATATCTCGCATAATGGCTTAGATTAATTTCATCTTGTGCCTAACCAACATAAGAATTGGAAAATTGACAATTCTTTTGGTGGAGATTAATTACATTGGTTGAAAAATTAAGGCTCCTTACTACAACGTTTTGAGGAGATTAAAGTTGTTTAACGAGTACTTTGGTTCCTGAAGATAAGGATCCTTTGCATGCTTGGTTTGTGATCTTGTTCGTCTTTGTTCTTGCTCTCGCAGGTATTGTCAATTTCCTTCTTTTTTTTTTTTTATCTAAATTTTTGTAGGTTTGATTGGTTAGATATGGAATTACATAAAGACACGAAGCAAATATTTTACTATCTTTGTTGCCAGTAAAATACATTTAATTCCATTTTCTATTTCCTCTGTTGGGAAAAACAACATCGATACGCAGAACCCACACACAAAATAGCAACTTCAAATTAAGAATAAGAACACAAATATATTTGGTTCGGTCCAACTCAAAATGACCTCTCCTTCAAGTTTACCTACTACAATACCAGAGTGAATATGATCTCCACCAGACAGTCGTAAAGCTTTAGCTAGTACACGAAAGTGCATACCATGATTCTTCTGTCTATCAATAACTGCGTGCATTGCGCGATGGATGTGAAGAAGTAGGCCATTATCTCGGCAATAATGAGCCAAGCTAGTATTTGCAGTGAACCCACATGTTAAGTAGTCATGCATTACGATGGGAACTCCCAATTCTTTGGCAAATACGGCCCTTTTAATCATTTCTTCACATGTACCCGCAGTAGCATTCAGATTAAGAATAAGAACACAAATATATTTGGTTCGGCCCAACTCAAAATACCCTACTCCAAACCCAATCCACTAACAAATAAATCTTTACAACTGTGAGACTTTTAAAATGAGAAAAATTTCATAAAACTCATTACCTAAAACTTAACTCAAAACTCAATTACTCATAAAACCCCTTACTCAAAACTTAATCCAAAACTCAATTACACCATTTAATAGCCGGCAAAGAACCATCGCTTTCCCTAAGGCAAGAAGGAAAGGAGAATGCAAGAGAAGTGCAAGCTAACTAATGGCGAGGAACAGAAGATGTACTATCAATAATAAAAAATGCTGGCTAACTACTAGAACTCGAAACCAATCTCTTTCCTAGGTTGAGTTCGGCTTTCAACATGCCATTTAGCTACATGCTTAACACATGTTATTGAAAGTCGAGATAGAAGTAGAGAAAGAAAGTGCAGAAAAAGAAAGAACCTTCGGAGAATAAGAAGTCGGAGAAGAAGGTGAGTTCGGAGAGGACAAATCAGTTGAAGAAAGAGAAGAATCTCCTAGTGCAGATAGGCCACTCATTTAGCTATTCTCTTGGTGTCTAACTCTCTGTGATTACCAAACTAAAAACAAAATACCTTATTTAAAAGGGTGAAACCCCTTATACTTTTACTAAACTCCCGATGTGGGATATTGGATAAATTCAAAACTCACTAACTTTCGATGTGGGATTATGAGATTCAAGGCAAATCCCAACAAATCCTCCCTTGACTTGAATCTTCAAACACTTAATAGTATATGTAAAGCTAACACGCTTACCTTTCTTTTTTTCTTTCATTATAGGGATCCCAGCAATTGAGCCTTTATCAAACATGTACAAGTGATTTTTAACCTTATTTTCTTGTAGAATCACACTACCATTTTTGTACACTTTTAACAAATCATTACTACCATAATATGTGTACCCCTGATAAGCTAACTCACCCAAAGCAATTAAATTATAGTGACAACTTGGTACATACCTTACATGACGAAGTGTCTTAATAACACCATTGTGAGATCTAAGGCGAACACTCCCAATGCCTTGAATATGTACCTTTTCTTTGTTAGCAACCATAATATCCCCATAATTTTCATTCTCATCCAACTCCACAAAGTAACTCCTATCATTGCAAACATGAATTGTAGCAGCTGAATCTAAAACCCAACCTTTATCACTTTTCAAAGTCTGAGTTTCATCAACACAAGTTGTCAAAATAACATCATCATCATCAGACACGATAGCAGCAGTATCATTTTTTTCTTCATCTGATTTTTTCTCATCATTCGTCTTTTTAAAAGCAGCCATATCCCTTCTCAACTTCCTGCAACGCACTTAGATATGTCCCTTCTCACCACAATAATAACATTTTATATCACTGTAATCTTTGTCTCTTGACTTGAATCTCCTTCTTGATCCATCAATCTTCTTTTGAGTCCTCCCTCGATCAACATCCTCTACAGCTAGTGTACTCCCACTAGGTGATGAGTTTTGAGCTCTCATAAACCTTTCATTCTCATGCAACATGATAGTCACATCATCCAACTTCAAAGTAGATTTATCCATCAACACAGTCTAAACTAAAGGCTTATAAGACTTGAACAAATATGATAGTAAAATTAAAGCATTTTCTTCATCTTGTAACTCATCAACAGAAATCACTAGCAATTGAAAAATCAATCTATTAAACTCATTCAGGTGATTATAAGAACTCATACCTTCTTCCATCTTTAAAGAATACAGATCTATTTTCAAACATAATCTATTAATCAACGACTTTGAAGCATAAATACCTTCAAGCTTATCCCATAAATTTTTCAGAATACTCTCAGCCAACACACTGTACTTTATTTTTGGAGTTAACACCAATCTAATAGTACAAACAGCCTTCTTATGAATCCTATTCCAATTAGCATCAGACATTCCCTTAGGCTTACTACTCTCTAATGCCTGATCCAACGCTTGTTGTACTAATAGATCTTGAATTGTACTTTGTCATAACATAAAATTACTTTTTTCATCAAATAATGAAATCTCAAACTTAGGCATAGGCATACCAGGCATATCTTCTTCAAACATTTTCAAACACTGCTTCACGATATCTTAGGTCCACGAACTTTAAACCTCAAACATCGCTCTGATACCACTTGTTGAAAAAAATAACACCCACACGCAGAACCCACACACAAAATAACAAGCTCAAATCAAGAATAAAAACACAAATATATTTGATTCGGCCTAACTCAAAATGACTTACTCCAACCCCAATCCACTAACAAATAAATCTTTACAACTGTGAGATTTTTAGAATGAAAAAATCTTTTAAAACTCCTTACTCAAAACTTAACCCAAAACTCAATTACACCATTTAATAGCTTGCTCACTTAGCTATTCTCTTGGTGTCTAACTCTCTAAGATTACCAAACTAAAAATAAAATACCTTATTTATAAAGGTGAAACCCCTTATACTTTTACTAAACTCCCGATGTGGGATACTGGATAAATTTAAAACTCACTAACTTTCGATATGAGATTATGAGATTCAAGGCAAATCCCAACATCCTCGAGAGTAAAGTCGTTAATTTTTTGCACAATTTAAAATTTTGACCATGGAAAAAAATATAAAAACAACATTTAAAATTTTGGTAAAAAGCAGAGTTTGATGAAAATTTAAAAATGTGTTCCAAAATCGGCATGTAAATAGAAATAGTGACATAATAATTTTCGTATTTTATTTCACATAAAATATATACAATATGAATAAACTAATTGCAAGTCAACTTGAGCTATTTGGAGCTGATTATCATTTTAGGATTTCTTTTAGAATAATATTAAATTTTTTTTTATGTGTTAGGATTTTATTTTATTTTTTATCATTTTAATAAAAATGATAAATAAAATGCATTTTTATGACATTTCTTCTTTTAGGTGAATCATTAGTATATGCTTTTATCTTTTCATATCTTCTCCTATACCCATTCTCATATTTTAAATAGTGAATGTCAAACAATAATAATTATAATATGGGATTCAATTTTGAAAAATCATTCATACTGATAAACTTAATCTGTGAAGATTATTTAAAGGAGTTACATAAAGGGAGTTTAAAAGCAAGTTATAAAGATTACTTAACAATTTATTAAAAAATAAAATAGAGATGTCTCATAAGCATGTGGTCCTTTATGGTGATTTATCCACAAGCAAGTTTATGTTTAATAAATGGTCTTCAAAGAAAATATTCATATTTGATATTTATATTTGAGATAAGAAATGGTTATTTTTTTTAACCTTTTCAAGAATATGAAATTTGTCCATTACTATTCCTTTAAGTCTATTATGATTCTTTTTCTAAATAACCCTAATCAAGGATCACCCTCCACATTAGGGGTAAATTTTGGGAAAGATTTATTTGAAAAAAAAAAAGAGAAAAGAAAATATCACAAAAGATTTCAAAGATGAAAATTGAATAAAAAAAAACCTTTCATTAAAAGAAAGGCAAATGTCACAAATGATCTAAGGGGTAAAGTAGAAGAAACTCTTCGTGAATAAATTCTTCTTGAAAAAAAACTAATGAAGAAGAATGGATGTGAAAAACAAAAAGATGAAAAAAATGAAAAGAAAAGGGAAATGTGAAGAAATGAGACAACTAATGTGCTTCAAATGATGAAATGATCCTTTGGTTCATAACCCTTCAAATACATGTTTTGAACTTATTTTATCCTCTTTTTCATAACCCTTCACCTTAGCTTACGTTACGTCTTTTAAAAATTTATTTTGATCAAATATGAATGCTTGAATTGAAGAGTCAGTTATTGAACTAAAGCATACTTGTAATAGGATAATGAGACCATTATTTGTTCCAGTATTTTGGTATTGGTTTGAAATTAGATGGGGATGTAAATAATGAATGACGTGAAAAAGAAATAAAAAGAAATAAGAATAATGAAAAAATAAGAAAAAATGAAAAGAAAAAAGAAAAATGAGAAAGATGTGAAAAAAAAGAGAAAAAAAGGAAAACTCAAATTGAAAACTTGAAATGACGATTTGGGTAAAAAAAATTTGAGCAGAAAAGATTAATGTAAACTGATGATTCTATTAAATTGGGGCAAAGTTTGATAAGCTCAATGATTTGGGAATTTAATTGGAATGAGTATTTGAAAAAAAATTTTAAATTAGAATTTAAAATTGTATGAATATTCATTTTTTAGATATTGATATCACATCCAAATAGTCACATTAATTAGCTTTTATTCATTTTTTTTTGTTCTTGTACCTATGTTTTCTAATTTTTCTTATTCTTTACCACTATTGTATCCTCAGAACCAATTGAGGAGATGTATGATTATATTATACTTGTCATGAGTTGAAATGATGATAAATAAATGAATGATAATGTTCATAAAAGATTATTGTATTCATTTAAAAGGAAATCTAGAATGACAAAGAGAAAAGGAAAATTAAATGAGAAGAGTGAAAGAAGCTTGAGAAAATGTTTTACAGATATGGTGATCGAGTGATGAAAACAAGAATGGATCAGTTAATGGAGTTTGTAAGTTTTTAGCAAATGATAGAAATGGTAATGGATCAGTTGATGGAATTTGTTAGTTAATTCTAAAATCATTAGTATTAAAAAGCTAAAAAGAGAAATTATGAATGATGAGATTAAAAAGAGATCATGGGGCAGTTATGATCACCTAAAAGATAACAAAAAAAAAAAGACTTGGAAGTTGAAAACACTAGAATAATCTTGAAATTCTTTTTTGCCATAATTAGAGTTGCATTCATAAACATTGCATTCATGCATTGCATTCATAAACATTGCTTTCATGCATTGCATTCATAAACATTACACTCATGTAATTTGTTTGGTAAGAAGTTATGATCTTGGATCTTGAAATGGTGAGAATGTGAAATATTTTTACTTGATTATAAGTTTTATTTAAAATGAGATTTTAATCCTTGGTGGAGCATAATTTTCAAAAATAAGATTTTGATTCTTGAAGAAAATTTTTTAAAAAACAAGTATTGTAGTGATCTTCGATTAAGAAAATATTTTTGCAAAAATAAGACTTTTTGATGAGATTTTAATCCTTGTATGAAGAAAACTTTGTGAATATAAAGTTTGAAACCTTTAGATAAAGAAAATGATTTCGAAAAGAGTTGGTAAACCTTGGTTAAGGAGTTTTTCTAGTTTTTAAAGTTTCATAACCTCTATTTAGAGGAGTTTTCATCACAAGATAAGAATCTTTGATGTGAATCCTTGAGACATTGAATTCTAGATTTGAATTTTTCAAATATGAATATTTGAATCCTTAATGCGAATCTCCAAAAAGTATATAATTCTCAAAAACCTTCAATAAGAATCTCGAATCTTCGATTCAAATATTTGAATGAATCCTTGATCTTTTTCAAATGAGAATCTCTTTTTATATTTTTCAAAGTTTTAAGTCTCTGTTGAGATGAGCCTTTTATATTTTTTCAAAAGTTATTAAGCCTTTGTTTAGAGGGAGCTTTTTATATTTTCAAAAGTTGTTGAGCCTCTATTGGGATGAACTTTTTATATATTTTCAAAAGTTGTTGAGCCTCTGTTGAGATAAGTTTATATTTTTTTCAAAGTTGTTGAGCCTCTGATAAGATAAGTCTTTTTTTATATATTTTTCAAAGTTATTAGGCCTTTGTTCACAGGGTTTTATTAGGATGAGATTTTAAAATTATTAAGAAAATCTTTTAAATGCAAATTTTTGACGAGAATCTGAAAATTTTTTTGAATGTGAACCTTTAAATTTTAGATGTGAATCTCTAAAATTTTCGAGTGAAAACCTTAATCTTGGATTTGAATCTTTAAGAGTTTTAATTACGAATCTTTAAAATTTTAGGTGTAAATCTCTAAAACTTTTCATATGTGAATCTTTCAATATCGTGCAAATCTTTAAATCACTTGCGAATCTTTAAATCTTTTGTGAATCTTTGAATCACTTGCAAGTCTTAAATCACTTGCAAATCTAAAATTTCTTTTAAATCTGGAATCTTTTACGAATTTTGAATCTTTTATGTATCTTTGAATCTCTTGTAAATCTTTAAATCACTAGTAATTTTTTGAATCACTTACAAATTTTTGAATCACTTGCAAATCTTTGAATTTTTACGAATCTTGAATCTTTTGTGAATCTTTAAATCTTTTATGAATCTTTAAATCTTTTACGAATCTTTGAATTTTTACGAATCTTTGAATCTTTGCAAATCTTGAATATTTTGTGAAGCTTGAATCTCTTGAGAATCTTTGAATTCTTTACAAATCTTGAATCTTT